AATCGAGCTCTTGTTTCTGTCAAACTGGATCTCAATCGGATTTCTCGTTCTTGAATCAGAGATAAAACAAATTCGCGTTTAACTCGAAGAGGTACATTCAGCTGCTTTAAGAATTAATTTGTTTATTTTTCATTTTAGCACGTTTTCGATTGACGTTGTTTATCGAGTGTATTTTATAAAATAGCCAACGTTATATAGTATAGTTGTTTTAAAAGCATTCGTCATATGTTACAAACAAGAATTCAGCGTAACTCTTTCATATTTATAAACTACTAAGATTTGGTCTGAAATAAAGGTGTTTATCCGAATGACAAAGTTGTGCATTCAGCATATAGTTTCGCGACAAATTACCTTACAAAGCCGGAGGAGATTTACATTGTTAGCTCAGCACGAAATCGTAACTCTCTCTGCCCGACAGTGTAACCTTGGGTAGGGGCCGGGATAACTAGAAGCCTTCAAGCCATTTACATGAAGTTTTAATACATCAATAATTGTATAGCACCACCTGAGGAAAACTCTTTAATTAGACTGCATTTCACCAATTGTAAACTTCAAACAATTCTATTTTCTCGCATACACCCATCATTAACTCATCCATATTTTCAACTGGATAAATTTTGATGTCACCCTTCGGGTATTTCCTCTCTAACGTCTTGCAACAAAGAAGGGAAAATGGCAAAAGTCAGAAATGGAGTAAATATTTATTTACTGTTAACAAGATACGTGACTTGATGCAGGTGTTTTCTCGGCTAGATTTTTGTTTCTTTTTCTTTTTCCTTAAAAGGATTTCTTTCTTTTTACGGAGCACTAGTCAGGTGTCTTCGCTGCAATGCTAACACACACAGCTCGATGTTAGGTCAGAGATCTCCCATTGGGTTTATACGCCGCCGTGTAAAATATTGATCGTTGAAAGCTTCGGGGAAAATTATGTAATCATTGATTATTAGAGTAAACTAAACATGGTGAGATGAAAATTGATGCCAGTCGTCGGTCTTCCGTCTTGCGATGAATGGCTATGAAAAACAACATATTTACAAATACAATTGTATTACAACAGGACTTTTGACTTGTAAGAGTCTTAAATAGGGGAGAATAAGGGAAAAGGCATCGATTACAGATGAAGTTTTTCAATACTAACCTCTTCTGAGTAGATGAAAATGTATTAATAAATGATTTTGCCACATGCGTCATTTAAAGGGGAGAATTGTATTTTTCCTTTCGAAGTAAGAACTACATCAT